TACGGTACGGAACAAAATTCCGATCTCTAATAATGAAGTCCTCGGATTAGCGCCTAAACGAGAGTTATCGAATATAAAATCGAAGCTCAAAATCTTCATTTAGTATTCACATGCAAAATCCATTTCCTGTGCAAACAATATGCCCATATTCAAGTAAATTACCAAAAAGAATAAATTATTTAAAAAAAATATTTAATTTAAAATATACCTCTTAATCAAAGAATAAAGAATAAAATAATAAATATTATTAATAAATTAAACTATAAACTATTAAAAATCCAAAATTGGAAAATTATTTGCAAAACACAACTTCAAATATAATTTTTGAAAGCAAGCTACGGAGGATTAAACTTAGCATGGGAATATTCGATAAATTATAATTAAATTTGAAAGCATTTAAATTATTATTTATTTAAAGACATTTAAATTATTATTTATTTAATTGAACAAATTATTGTAAAGCATATAGCTATTTAATTCCTAAGGCTGTGCTGTAGGCGGCGTGGTGTAATGGCTAACACATCAGTCCGGTCTACTGAAGATGCTGGTTCGCTCCCAGCCGCCGAATAACCTTTTGCTCTAGCTAAAGGAGAGAAATAGCTATAGCCCAGCTGCTTTACTTTATACTCTGTTTTTAAAGAAAGAAACTTGAGTTGCTAGAAGATGACATAATATGTACATACTTATGTCAGGGTGGCCCCTTCCAAAACACTAAAATAGGGCACGGCCACTCAAAAATAGGGCGAAAATAGGGCAAAAATTTGGGCATAGCTTTAAAAGCTTAAACATAATTAAAATTTCAAATAAGGTGAAAATTTTGAGACTTTCGGAAGACCAAGAAGCCAAATTTCTTCCATTTTTTGCGCCGCAGGCAAAATTTTGAGGATTTTGGAAGGCCTGGTACAAACATAATTTTGGTACAAACAATTTTTAGATTAACCCCTTTTTTGTAAGCTAAAGATTACTTTTTGTTAAACTTAGTCCTATGTTACTGGGTAGAGTGTAAGAGCCTTCTTATTAACTTGAACCTGATTATAATAATATGTAATAATATTATAATAATAATAATTATAATAATAACAGGGGTAATAATAATAATCATTATAATAATAATAATTTCCAATATATCTATTGTATTGTTCATGCTGTGGAAAAATTCATTGGATGGGAGATGGAATTGAACCATCATAGAATGAGCCCAGACCGAAGCACAACCGACTGTGCCACAATCCAACCCATTGCTGGGTTATTTATTATCATTTATATTCATTCTGCAAGTGCGGACACAACAATATCTTTAATAATCCCAACAACAATTTATTAAAGCATTAGAGATATTCAAATATAACCGAAATAAATTTAAAATAAAAAATCACAGTCCCTTTTGTTTAATTTAATATAAATTTTCCTTCTTAACTTGTGAACTGAGGTTGAAAAATTTTTTAAATTCTTATAATCCACCATCCTAAAATTAATTCGGGTGAGGTGGTTTTGCTTTGCCTTTGCTTGTGTGTTTCCTGCTTGCTACAGGACTTCCATTATGTACAGGACGATGTACGCTCTGATGTTTATAATCAGCATCTTTACTAAAATCAAATAAAGATTATTACTTCCGGAAAATTTTTACATAAATCTTATATTATTAGCTTAATTTTGGATAAAATTTTTTTAAATTTTCTGCTATTTATGTAAAAGTGAGACGTATTATTAGTAGTTACCCCCCCCCCCCCCCCCCAAATGTCTCACCTACTTTACGCGAATATTATTTTATGTAAAGTTAAGCACAAAAAGATAATATTGATAAACTTAAGGATTAGAAGATAGAATTAATGTAAAGTTAAGCAATAGAAGAAACAATTGATGTAATATTAAAGGATGGAAGATGTGGATTTTGGGGGTAAAATTGCAAAGTTAAGTACTAAAAGATATTACTGATGTAAAGTTAGGGATTAGAAGGTAAAATTACCTTAAAGTTAAGAGTTTGAAGATAAAATGTGTGAAAAGTTACGGATAGAAAGATAATATTCACGTAAAGTAGGTGAGACATTTGGGGGGGGGGGGGGGTAACAAACTATTATTCGAACTGCTTTGACCAGTTGTTTAAGGACTTGTTTTAAAAATTTTTGGGCCTAAATAATATCCTATTTAACGATTTTATGGACCTAAGAAGATAGAGATCAGATAGAGATTAGACTGAGAGATTGTACGAGAATCGAGAGCGAGATCTCGAATAAATTCTCGATCTCGAAAGATCTCGCTTATCGAATTTTTCGAGACCGAGAATTCATTCGAGATCACGATTCTCGTACGAGTTACTGCATCTCGATCTCGAAAAATCACAAAAAATTTTATCATACGAGAAACAAGATCTTAAAAAATTCTCCATCTCGATAACCGAGATTTTCGATCGAGATCTCGGTCCGATCTCTAATTGGTCCGGTCTTTATACAATTTAAACTTAAATTCACTTATGTAGTTCCAAAAATATTTTTTTAACTTTATTTAAACTAACTATGGATCGTTCGATTCCAGGTTCAGCTCTTCAGCTTTTGAAATAGTGGGCAATATCATTGCGATTAAAAAAAGAATAATAATCAGCTTCATAGTTGTCTCGTAAATTTTAATATATTTTTAAATATTTTTTATAGAATTTATATTTTATGTATTATTCTGAATTGTTTAACTATGTATATTATGAGAAGGTAATCTAAGGCAATCTAGTGAAGTAATCCTCAATCTACTGGATGCTATTGCTAGTCGACTTCGCTCACCACGTAAAGGTGAACTGCTTGGACGCTGCTCTCTCTTGTATATCTTCTTCTTCTTTTATCAGGAAAATAAGTAAATATTTCTTGATCGTAATAATCGAATCGGTAGATCCATATCAGGGTGGCCCCTTCCAAAACACTAAAATAGGGCGCACCCACTCAAAAATAGGGCAGAAATAGGGCAAATCGACCAAAAATAGGGCAAAAATTAGGGAATAACATTAAAAGCTTGAACATTTTTGAGAATTTTGGAAGGCCAGGAAGTAAGAAATCCTCATTTTTATCATTTTTTTCACAAAATCCGAAGAATTTTTAAAATTTTACAAGATGGTAAAAATAGGGCAAAAATATGGCAAATGAGAAAATAGGGAAAAAATAGGGCGAAAAGGTCAAAAATAGGGAAAATCCTCTATAAATAGGGTAAAAGGGCCACCCTAATCCATATATCGGTAGATAAATAAGTATTGGTAAAAAAAATCGGTAGATAAAATAAATTTTATGAATTTTTTCAAGAGATAAGCTCTATTAGCTTATTCATTAATCTAATAGAGAGGAATGTTTATTAGAGTTAATCTATTAGAGAGGAATGTACTGGAGATTTTTAAAAAATTTTCTGATTAAATTATGTGTTCATGGAAAAAAATGAACTTATTTATAAGGATATTCCTTTAATCTTTGTTTATTTAAATCCAGAAAACATGTGAAAATCAAAATTATTGCCTTAAAGGCAAAACACAATGTTTAATACTTAAACTCCATCCGCTTATTCAATTAATTCATTAACTCACCAAAATTAATGAATTAATAAAAAATATACTTATTAATAAAATAAATTTTATAAAAAGCTTTTTAGCATGCCTATTTCAAAGGCTTTCATTTACGTATATACCAAAAATATACCAAATATTATTAATAAATTAAACTATAAAATAAAGTAACGCAGCTGGGCTATAGCTATTTCTCTCCTTTAGCTAGTGCAGAAGGTTAATCGGATGCTGGGAGTCAACCAGCATCTTCAGTAGACCGGACTGATGTGTTAGCCATTACACCACGCCGCCTACTGCTCAGCCTTAGGAAATTAGTAGCTATATGCTTTACACTAATAAAAATATAAAAAATTATTTACACATTATTATAACTCAAAATATAATTTTCTCCTCTTTATCAGAAGCATGCCTTGGATAAACCCAAAAAATTTTTCTTATTTTTCAGCGATCTTTAATTTAATTTTTTTTAATAAAATAAATTTAAAAAAAGCTCAAAGCCTTTGCGTTTACGTATGTATGTATATACCAAAAATATTATTAATAAATTAAACTATAAACTAAAAAATATTAAAAAAAATTAAAAATTATTCACTTTCGATCATAACTCAAAATATAATTTTTAATAGCATGACTTGGATAAACCCCAAAAAAATTTTGCGCTTATCAGAGAGGACCATGAAAAAAATTCCAAAAAAATTCAAAAAAATTTTTATAATTAAAAATGAATACACAACTTTAAATTATTAATTAATTAATTTAATAAAAAAAAATTATTTTTTCCTTATTTTTCACACAATCATTGCTTGGTTATCAACAGCGATCATTACTAAAATTTATTAGATTATTACTCAAACCTTCCAATTTTAGTCATGTTTTTTAAATTTGTTTGACACTGGCTCGTTGGTGTTTATCAGGGGTCTAGGTGACCAAACTACTAGATCCACGATTTTTGAAATTGGAAATAGCCGGGAAAATTTAATTTCAAATGTTAAAAACAAGGAATACTTCTTCCTTTAAATGCCCTATTTCGGGAATAGCGGATCCCCACCCATAAAATGTCATAAATTCTAGAGACATGATGTTCATCAAAGCAATGCCTTCTATTTAAAATACATCTCATTATAAGAAAAAGGTTTTTTATCCCGAGGGTATCCGAGGGAAATCCTTAGTTGTATAAGTGCGCGTATACTTATGAAACACCCTATTTTGGGAAAAAATTAAAAATAAAAATAAATTTCTGAATTTTTTGGGTAAATTGTCCATAAATCTTGTTGTTTAGTTAATTCACATATTTTAAAAAATCTAGAAGATATTAACATCTGTATTAATGACAGAAAAATCAAAAATTTTGGGTGCGCGTATACTTATGTAACACAGTGTATAGCGGATCTTGTGCTTATACATATACCCTCTTGGATCTGAAAAGTGGGGGTACCCTTTAGAGTGGGTACCCTCTAAAGAGGAGGAGGATCAAGTCCGGTCACTACTTCTATGAGAGGGGGGGGGTACCCTTTATGCAACCACCTTCACTACCCGTAAAAAGTGCTTATATGTATTATAAAATTCAAAATATACCTTTCAACTCAAATAACTCGGCGACAAGATTACCGAAAAGGCAATCAAAGGGCTGTTGATAACAGGTGAAAGTGCATAAGGGCTCAACACCAGAGCCGATAAAAAGGCTGGGGAGTAGATAATAGGGGACAAAACAAAGGGTGATAGAACCAAAGGGGTTGCTGCTGTTGGTGTTAAAATCAGTGGAGATAAAGCCAGTGGTGATAGAATTAAGGGAGTGAAGACTTGTGGAGAGAGGATAAATGGAGACAGAACGAAGGGGCTGAGTACGAAAGGGATGAATGCTCCTGGGTTTAGAATGAAGGGGTTTAGAGCTACTGGACTCTGAAAATAAAAATTGTTAAAATATATAGCTTAGAAATTTAAAAAATTTTTGGCACTAGTCTTCTTGTGGCACCTAAACCAAAATCAATGAGTTCTAAATGCTAGACCGATCAAGCTTCCCTTCTGACAGTATGAGAAAGATGGGTTGTATTTTTTGAATCGGATCGAAGTTCGAGTCTTTTTCGGGCCTCGTCTTTATCAAACCGGGCACCTAGTTTTCATCGGGCTAAGACTCGATGTTCGATTCGTTTTTTCGAACCAGGCATACTGATATACAAATAGAGATTCTCCCTGTATTGGGTCTCAATCGGTATTCTTCCTGTATTAGTTCTCACTGCAAATGACCCCTGTTAGGGGCATTTGAAGGAATATTGAGAGTCAGGTGTCAAAGTTAGTCTTTACTAGTGCCAAAATTTACGTACCAGTATAAACGGGTCGAATATCGACGGTGATAGGATGAATGGACCTAACACACGTGGTGAGAGAATGAGTGGCACAAACATTGTAGGGGAGAGGATAATCTAAATTGAATATACTGTAATTTCAGTAAAAATAAAAGTACCGGTCCCAATACAACAGGAGAAAGAACCAACGGAGAGAATATAATTGGAGAGAGAACTACAGCAGTATTGACGATAAAAGTCTTTAAAAATAAGTCTTAGATCCGTTATAAACAGATCTCACCTCAATAAAAGGTGTAAAACTGATAGGGGATAGAACAATTGATTGACGTTTCCTTCTATTGTGTCCATTTTTAGATTTTTTAGGCATGATCTTGAAGGATTTAAGTAGGGCCAATTTATGAATATCAGATTGAATGTGTGATAATAATGTTGATTTGTTGAGCGATGAAAAGCGTTGAAATAACTAATAAAATATTAAACTACAATTTTTTGAAGAATGAATACTAAAGAATCGAGCTGGGTTTGAATCAAGGCCCGGGGTTTTCGTGTACCCAGAGTCCAGGCCCAGGCATTTTTTGACCTTCCTAGGTTTTTCCTGGGCCTGGGTTTTTCCTGGACTCAGGAAATTTTGAATGAGTGATAATAATGTGGATTTGTTGAGCGAAGAAAAGCGTTGAAATAACTAGTAAAATATTAAAGTACAATTTTTTCAAGGATGAAAAGTAGAGATCGAGCTGGGTCTGGATCAAGACCTGTGTTTTTCCTGTACCCAGAGTCCAGGCCCAGGCATTTTTTGACCTTCCTAGGTTTTTCCTTGGCCTGGATTTTTTAGACTACAAGGCCCAGGATCCGGCCCATGTCAATAAATCAAACCGGAACCCAGATACAGGCACAGGCTTTTCAGAAATCACGGTCTCTAATTAATTCATTATCATTATCAATGGAAGGCTTAGAAATTAGAAATGCTCATTCCAGAGGTCAGTATTGCCAACACGGCCAGACTAGCAAGCTCGAGCGGACTTTACACTTGCTAATCTTGATAGAATTCAATTTTAAAAAATACTGAGAGCCACAGAGTATTTATGAAGGCTTGCATAGTTCAGTATATATTTTGGGCCTTTTTCGGTGCATATATGCCCATATTTTGCGATTTTCTGTGCATATTTTACTTTTTTCTAGTTAGTATACACTTTTAGTTAGTACTTTTACCCCTACATTTGTTCTGAGATATCTACAGGATATCAACGTATTTTAGAAAATTAAGGCTTCAAGCAGGTTTAGCGCACCCGAATATCAAAAAATAGTCCGGGTATTTTGCGATTTTTGCCTCGGATATTAGTTCCGATTCCAAAATATTCAATGATATCCCATGATTTCAAACTGTCCTTTTAATAAGACAATGGATTCTTAATAAAATTATTCGACTAAAAAATTTATTATACCACGGGATCTTCATAAGAAGAATTATTTCCATAAAGTATATGTAATTGGTCTTTAGTCAAAAGCGTATATCCAGTCATATTCATATCTTTTAGCTTAAAAAAGATTATTAAATTTTTCAATTAAGCATTACTTGTTGTTTATTAATTGAATTTTGTAAAAATTCAAAAGCCTCGAATTTTTTAATTCCAGCTTCATCGGCGACATCACTAGGAGAAAAAAAAATATTTTTTATAAATTAATTTTAAATTTTTATATTAGAGAGGGATCTGATGAAAATTTTGCTTAATGACCTGAAGGAAGCTTATAAGATTTAGGGTTGGGGTTTTTGAGACGGGCCGACGTTCGAGACATTTTTTGGCCTCCTTTTTATCGGACCTTTATTTTTTTATCTTTTTCGGGTCAAAATTTGATGCCTGACTTGATCTTTCGGACAGGGGGATCGGGCCCCCAACCCTAATAAGATTTCAAAACTGAAAAGGGAAGGTTTATCGTTATTAGCTTGTTGATGAAGTAAAAGAGGGAGGAAGTTGAAACGCCTTCTATTAATTCTCGAACTGTTCGAGTCATTTTTATCGGGCATGCCCGTCAGAGTCTTTTCGGGTCAAAATTTGATGCTCGACTCGATCTTTCGGACCAGGCCGGATCGGGCCCGCAACCCTAACCAGATTTCCAAGCTGAAGAGGGTAGGCTTATCATTATGAGCCTGTGGATGATGTAAAAGAGTGAAGAACTGAAACCCCCCCCCCCCTCTATCCATTTTTAAAATTTTGAATATAATTTCAAATAAATCCACGTTATATTCTCCTTTGTAAAAAATAGAGGTGTTCCATCTTTTGTCCGTATCTCCTTCTCGTATTTAGTAGTATTAAATTGCTTAGGCAAAATAAATTCTGAAGATGTTGAATTTGTAAGAGAACTTGTAGCGTTTAGTTCCTAATCATTTTAAATTTTATTTTGATAATTTTTTGATAATTTTAAGATTCAAAGACCTCCTCTATCTTTTTTGCACTCTCCAAAACACCCGAAGCTTCGAGTATCTTTTAATTTAAAAAATAATTAATTAATCAAATAATATAAAAATTTCAATAAATTTTCAATGTATCTAACCAAATCAAGCCACATTTGTTGGTCTTTGGAGCTGAATCCAATAGGTCCACTAATCATGTTAAGAATGCTTGGAATGCTTGTTAAATTCTGAAAATATCAAAAATATTTGAATCATAATATCCAAATCTCGGCTTTTTTGAATCCGAACCCGACTTTTTATCAACGAATCCTCTGATAATTTGTATGATTAAAGACCTCCTCTATTTCAATTCCAAGATTTCCTCTACCTCCTCCAGTTTAGACTATGTTAAGTTCAAACTCAAATAATATAAAATTTAGGGTCAGGGTCTTGAGTTTACCCACAGGTTAATAAAAAAGTGTGTCAGACTTAGTTATATTTCGAAACTACATAGAGACAAGGATCCAGACTTTCCTCCCAAAAATAGGATTTCCTAACTTTATTTGGGGCGGAAATCTCGATTAATGAAATCGAAAATTTATTTTGTATTTCGGTAGGATTGCTTGTTGTTTATGTTTTAATTAAATAGCTTGCCTCGATCCCTTTGCCTTCAGAATGTATTGAGAAGAGTGAGGGAGAAATAAAATCCACCTTTAAAAATTCCTCAGAATTTTAATCATAATAATTTTTAAAAATATTACAGTATCATTATGTTCAGGATCATCCTCAGCTGTAACACTAAAAAATCTGGGAGAGACCATTCTCATTGTTTTATTATCAATGTCTGAAGCATTATGTCCAGCTAATGCGTAGCCTAATTTAATCCCTTCTCGTAACATCTGAACAAGACGGCCGAAAGGTTCCTTCTTTTTCTTTGTATATTTTTCTGAACGCAATTTTTCCAGAAATTTGAAAATTTTTTGTGGGTCCTCGGCGATTTCGTTAAGCTAAAATAGGACAGATTTTTATCAGAATTGAAACAGGTTCCGGTTCAGAAGCTCAGGCTCAACTACAGTTCATGATATGTTATGATGATGTGACTATGGGGAACTTAGCGGAAATTATAGGTTTATCAAATCTAAATTTGAATCAATGATCTTCCTCGTTCGAAAAATCTATGGCCTAAGATTCCTAGAATAATGCCCTCAGATTAATAAGGTCTCAGATCGAAGGCCCTCGGCTTCCTAGAATGTCTTGTCCTCAGATTAATAAGGCCTCAGTTCTAAGTCCTTCAGATTCCTAAAATAAGGTCCTCAGATTAATAAAGCCTCAGATCTATGGCCCTCAGATTCTTAGAATAAAGCTTTAAGATTAATAAGGCCTCTGATCTAAGGCTCTCAGGTTCCTAAAAGTCTAAGGCCCTCAGATTAGTAAGGCCTCAGACCTAAGGCCCTCATATCTAGGACCTCAGATCTAAGGCCCTCAGATTCCTAGAATAAGACCCTCAGCCCTCAGATTATAAGCTTTGCTGAACTTAAAATTTAAATGTTTCGGTTTCTGAAGTGCTTCAGAGCAAAGATAACACTGATTATAATAACTCACATCATCCTCCACCTCCCCAAATGCTCCTTGCCGTTTCAAGCCTCTATAAGTCAAATGCCCAAGTTCAGGACTATCCCCCTCCTCAAAATTCTTTTTAATTTCCTTCCTTCGTTTAGCACTATCACGAAGTCTTTCAACTGTTTTTTGCCATCTAAATTAAATTTTTTCCAGTTATATCTTCATTAATCGGATTAAAAATTCAACTAACGGAACAACATCCTTTTCGTGCTTTCCTTTTGCTTTCAAAACTTTTTTCATTAAATCGCGCGCAATCCTCCCCAAAGGGCTTAGCCTTGAGTGTGTTGTGTGTAATCCGTAAAAATTTTTTCGCATGATTATTTGCGGTTGATTTGTTTTTGAATTTTTTGGTGCTATCTTTGTGTGGTCTTTTGACTTGTTTTGTGTTGGATTAATTAAAATTTTCTTTTCTGGAGTTTGTTTATTTTTTGAGGTGTCAGACTGGATTAAATTTAAATTTATAATTAAATTAAGTTAAAAAAATTTAATAAAAAAATATTTAGCGATTTAATAAATTTAGTTGGATAGTGGAAAAGGACTCTAAATTAAAAGATTAGTAAGTGATATCGTGAATTGGAGAAGATTATCTAAAGGATAAGTTCATTTCCTAATAGAAAACCACTCACTGAGACCCATATAATAAAATGGAAACCCAGGGATCTAAACCAGATATTTATCCTATGGACTGAATTAAGTCTAGGGTCATTACCATCCTAGCTGGCTTTTGGACTGAATTCAGTCAAGAAGCTTTTTCATTACTCTGCTAGCTGGCTGGCTTACGAAATAAATTTTTCTTTGCCTCAAACCCAGGGCCTCTATTATCTTATTCATCCTAGGCACCCATTAAGGTCATAATGTTTTGTATTACAAGATACACTAATTTCCTATCAATTTTAAACAGAAAATTAACTATAATCAACTCCTCACAGGAATATTAAACAATGGGTGTTACTGTATAACGAGTTAGATCTCGAAGAATCTCGCACTAATTTCAAGGCTAAAAGCATACGATTTGGTTCTTAACGTCTTCAGTAGGATGGTGGCAACCGGTTAATCCTTAACTATGGTTAATCAAATAGAGAATATGAGCTTTTGAGACGCTACAGGGAGAAATTAACCGGTCGACAATAACCCTATATCTAGTTCCGAATTTTTTGGGGAGCCATAATTTTATAAATATACCATTATTTTATTATGATCATCCCTCAATTTTTGGAATATTTTATTTCTCATTTCAACAACATTTTGACGTTGTTGATTGTATTGTCTGTCACGATACCGTTCTAACCGAGAATTTTTCTGAATCAAAAATTTTTAAAGATTTTTTAACATCTTTAACCAACTTTTCTAGTAAAATTTTTTCCTTTAAAATTTCCATTAAAAAGATCAGAAAGACATTTTGCATGTAAGGGTATGTTTGTTGCGTGTTTGGAGCAATGGCCAAAATCATCACGGATTGGCTTTTTTAATGTTTTTAGCCTTAAATTAATTTTTAGTCTTAAAATGAATTGTTATGGGCTTAAAAATTTTTATTGAATTCTAAAAAAATTTCCCTCAAAACATCGAGAATTCAACTAAAATCAAGTTAAGCTCCAAAAGATAATAAATTAATTTATTTCCAAATAATAGAACCTCATGGGGCTCTAGTTTTCAACTACCCTCCAAAGTGGGGCTCTATTTCAGGGTAGGGTTCTAATTCAGTGTGGGGTATTATTTTCGGAAATACGGTATGTATCAAAATTTCCATAATTTTTATAAAATATTCCTCATGGGGTACACCTCGTTTAGTCTGAGCTCAATTCAGTATCGCGCCCTATAACCTTTGAAGAAGTTGATAATTTTTCTTGTTCTTGGTACCATTTGATAGAGCCTTAAATAAGCTACAAAATACCAGAAAATCAAAATTCTCGACTAACTGTTAAAAAAGTTATGATCGAAAAAGTGCCGAAAAATCACGTTTCTTTAAAAGTTGGTTTTTAAATCACAACTTTTTTATCAAAGGGTCGAAAATTCTGATTTTTTGAACTATTGTAGTTCTTAGAATTCTCTATCCAACGGTACCAAGAACTTGAAAAAGTGACCATTCCTTGATGAGTAATAGGGTCGAGACTGAACCGAGGTGCTAGGTTACTTATGATTTATTATGTATTGAAGGGATACGGTATCGATAAATGAATACCTTTGATTAGCAATCGCAGCGAAAAGGGAAGAGTATGCTTGATCAACCCCTTAAATATTAATTTTTAGCGAGCTTATCAAAAAATATTCCTCACAATGTTGAAAAATCGCTTCAGCATGGTCATCCCTTATAGGTATGTTTTGTACCTTTTTGGAGAATTCTTCACGATTTTTTTGCCTTTGTTTCTAGAAAAATGAATTATTTTTAAATTAGAAAACACTTTTTATTTCAAAAAATTATTTTGGGGACATAAAATCACCGTTATATACCAACAAAGACACGGGAATCCAAGCTAAACCCTTAACTCCTAATATAAGACCTTCATATCACTCACAATATTAAAATCATAACTTTATTATCAGTTAAGCGTGGGTTGTAAGGATGGTCGATTTTATTTAGATAATAAAGCCAAAAGCTTTATTAAAAGGGGAAAGATATGAAGCAAGATTTTAATCTGCAAACTATATTATGATAAAATTTAGGGGTGAACTCATAATTTTGGGACAGAGTGTAGAGATCAAGATAATTTTGATGACATAAAATGGTAAGATTTTCGGATAAGAAGTATCGGATTTCTAGGAACATAAACTAAAATGAATAGAGATCGAATTGTGAGTGTCGTTCAAGAATTGAGATCTCGGAAAATTTTCGATCTCGATAACCGTGATTTTCAATCGAGATCTCGTCTCGTTCCGGTCTCTAAAAATAAATAACTCATTCTTTACTTCATCAGGCAACTTTTTGTTAGAAGTATGGTGAAACAATTTTTTATTATTTAATTGTTTTTCTTCAATTAATTTGTTGGTTGTAATTATAAGTCGGGGATAAACGAAAAAATTTTCAAAAATAATATTTAAATAAATTAACAATATTGTCAAATAAAGGTACATCTGAACATAAAAATTGTCTTATATACAAGGGTTAATTTGGCATAAATCAAGTTAATTATCGGGTTAATCAGTTAATGTTTGATGCTTGATCATCGATGTCTCCCTCTTCCCTTCTTTATCAGGATAAACAAAAAACCCATGCACATCAGTAGGGGTTAAATGACCAAAATGTTTATCAAGAGGGTCATAAAAGTACAAAATGGGCTTTCTAGTAGAAGCAAAAAACACATATTATATTTCTTCCGATAGTGCGAACTCCCTCTATTAACCGACTCCTTCTATTAGACTGACCCCTTCTAATAAACCGACCCTCTAGAGGAGGTTGAAAAATAAACCGCCCGGTCGAACTATCAGAGGTGGGTCGGAATTCCGATTTCCGCCTTCCGATTCCCGATTTCCGGCGTTTTTTCCTTCCGATTTCCGACTTTTGAGCCATTTCCTATTTCCGGCAGCTCTGACTGATCCGACCCACCTCTGCGTACTATTAGAAAAAATACGGTAATTTGAAAAATACGCCGACCGGTCCCGTACTATTAGAACGAGCCTTAGTTTGGTACTATAAGAATCTGGTCATTTGCCCAGGTCATTTAACCCATACACCTCGGTAGGGGTTAAATGAACAAATAATACGAGCTAACCAAAGATCAAATAACCTGGTAAATGACCTGGTCATCTAACCAAAAACCAGGGGTTTTTCTTATCTCGTTGAATCTCGAGGTACCTCTGGTAACCGGTTACATGACCACAAACCACGTTCATATAGTACGGGCCCCGGTCAGACTATTAGAAGTGATACGGTAATTTAAAAGACCATTTTATCAACATGTTGTTCATGTTTATAAATATTTTATAAATTAATATAAATTAGGAGAAAGTATGACTGAAGCTTACCCCAATTTTCGGATGATGAACTTTACTAATAAAAGTTCCTGTTTTTAATGTAATGTTTAAATAATCCAATTAGGGCGACAAAATCATTTTTACTTTTTTTTGATCTTGTGAAGCTTTTAACTTTAAAAAATAATTTTTTTGAATAAAATGGGAAATAATATAATAGTATATAGCAGGGTTGCCGCGGGTACAAAAAATTTTTGGGTACGGGTTTCGGGTTGCAGTGTTTTAATTCCGGGTTACGGGTTTCGGCTTGGCAAAAATATTGGGTACGGGTTTCGGGTTGGAAAATTTTCTTTTCGGGTATCGGTTTCGGGTACAAAAAAGGCCGGGTTTCGGGTTTCGGGCGGCAACCCTGGTATACAGTGCTGGTCAAAAGTACAGCCGCACTTTGTTTTATAGGTTTTTAATAGTGGGAGAAATCCACAAAAATTTTTGTGAACATATCTATCAATATAGATAAGAAATACAGAAGGAATGAAGTTCTGATGTACTCCCATCATCGAGATCTTGAAACCCGGAAATCAACGGAAAACCGGGGTAGACGTCTTCAAAAAATATTTTCGACCCCTTACAGGCGAAATAAAAATTTTATTTTGGGCTTATTTAAGAGCCCTTGAAATTTGCTACAAAATGAACACCAGAATACATTACGTTAAAGATGTTTTTTGTAAACAATTAAGTATAGGAATGGACTCAGACTTGATCTCGTTCAGACGCCGCCTACTGCACAGTCTTAGGAATTAAATAGCTATATGCTTTTCAGGATTTAGAGGTAGACTTTCGAGGTCGATGCTGTGGTATTGCCAAAAAAGGTCTGGCACGAGTTCGTGGTTAGACGGAGTTTTGGTAAGCCCTAATTAAATAGGCTATAAAATCCAGAATCTTCAAGATGTTCTGCCTCAAGAATAAAAAATAATTTTTATTAAGCATAATGATTATTGCAAAAATATTTTTTGTATTTAAATTAATTTTCAATTTTTACTTCCATTTTTTAAATAAAAATACTATTTTAGTATTTTATTAAAAAAAGCTTTGCAAAAATTTGGAAAAATTACAGAAAAAAGGGAAGCTTTTTCTGTATATAAAAATTGCTAATTTTAAATAAATACACCAAAAATAAAATTTAATTTCAATTTTTAAATTAATAATTAAACAATTTAAATCCAAAATAAACCCAAGTTTCTATTTAATAAAATATTTAATTAAAATTTACAAGTCACCTATGAAGCTTATAATTATTCTTGTTTTAATCGTATTGATATTGACAACTTTGTCAGAAGCTGGAAAGTTGGATCAGTTTAGCGAATTGAAGTTAGTTAACTTAAAATTATACTAGCTTTGCTTGCATCTCTGAAGAAATATTAGAAAATTGACTCAATGATCGAGTTTTATTAATATTTAGGGTTAATATTTTCGAGTCGGGCCAACGGTTGAGGCATTTTTTCGGGCTTGTTTTTATCTAGTAGCGCCGGTAAGAGTCTTTTTCGGGCAAAC